CTAGGTGTAAATTCCAGTTCCTGTAAAGGTGCAGATAAACATATATTTCACTGTCTTGATGATTGTTTTAAACCGTACAATGCTTTTAATAATAACCACACCTTGTTATTATCATTAGATGTAACAGATGGTTTTTCCATAAAAATCTGTTCTCTGGTGCATTGAGGTATGTTGTTCTTATGTCTGCTTGCCTTATATGGCATCTTTGAATTTGACAAGAGTTAATAACAGTCTAATAGATTTACTGGCTACCATTGGTGAGAATACTTGATCATAGTCTGTGTATTTTACCCCAGAATACCCTTTTGCCACAAGATGTGATTTGTAAATTGTTTCTGAATTGTTAGTTTTTATTTTATTGCTATATGATGGGCTATCTAAAGAGTATCCTGGTTATTTTACCTTTTCCTTATGGCTAAGTTTTGAACCTTTGGGGGAGGGGATTGTCTCATCTGGAAGAAAGCTGATTTATGCTGTTTCATGCCCTCCCTTCACTGTGAATAAAGAGATAAGAGACTACTGTTGGGGTAAACTAAAACCAGAACTTTATTTATACTTGTAAAACATCTGCAGTATTGCTACATAAAGTGCAAACTGGGGGCAGAGAAGAGGTCTTATCAAAGAATGTGAGGACCATGAATACATTTGGAAATTCTTGGGCAATGTAACAGCCACCCTCAAACCTCAAGGAGTGGTTGCTACTTCACTTTAAACTCTGCTGCCACCAACTTATCCTTGAAAGTCAAGCGAAGGACAAGTGTAACTTTGAAAAACAAAAACTGGTGTATTGATTACAGGAAATAAAAATAGTAAATCACTGGTAAAGAATCAATAAGTCAATCACTGTTAATAAATCACTGGCTCACACAGACTATTTCACACCGACAGGCTCTCTCACTCACTATAACTAACAATCACTTTAAACTCTCAGCTCAAACTCTAAACTCCAATCTTTATCTCTAATCTCTCTCACACCCGCTTCACTCCCCTTTTTATACTAGCTCCTCCCCTTAAGTTCCACCCTCCGTCACACCATTGGCTGATGACTCACTGCCCAGCTGTGACGGACATGTGATGTTATGTCTGCCCGTTACAGGCAACGAGTGCGCCCTGTTGGCTGATACTTCCACTCTGAAAGCACTGTTGGTTCTGACACAAAAAAGAAGCTGACAAAGTGTATATCTGATTCAAGGCAAGAGGGCACTTCCAGTCTTTTCTTATGCCAGGACTAGGGTCAGCATCATATAAGTAAATTATTGGTGCAATATTATAGATAAGAATAGTATTAATTAACATGAGACTACAGTAAGTCATTCTATGGTGTTTTAGAAGAGGTAGCCATTTTAGTCTGTGCAAGAATATCAGCCAAAATCCAAAGAAATAAAACAAAGCAAAACAAAAAGGACAAAAACATGTAGCACCTTAAAGACTATTATATTTCAATGTCATTTTTCATGGAGAAGTCCACTTTGTTATGGATGTGTTGTAGAATCATGGGTGTATGGATGTATTTGTATGGTATCCCAAGTAAGTTATAATGATGTACTTACCACCTTAAAGACTATTATATTTTAATGTCATTTTTCATGGAGAAGGCCACTTTGTTGTAGAATCACGGGTATATGGATATATTTGTATAATGTCCCAAGTAAGTTATAATGATGTACTTAGCATTTTTTAATGTAATATAGCCCTTGAAGAAAGCTGATAGGTCAAAATGCATCAACCATTTTATACTGGAAAAAAAGAATATGGTATTTTCTACATCTTGGGACTATGGTTTTCCCTTTTTTTGACCTATTATTTCAATGGATGTTCCCGTTCCTTTCATTATTTTCTCATTGACATCAATGACACTTAAATCATGACTAACTTGTCCCACTGATTTTTTGTGCGACTTTTCTAAAGGAGGGCTAGATTTGGATCTAATCTATTGTAATTAAAGGGCCATCACTTTTTGTGTATAAATTGGTTTATTTGTGGGAAATGAAATATATATACAGTATCTGAACTGTGATTTTAAAAAAACACCTATGAGAGGCAATTGTTTTAAGTCCAAATGGAACACCAGTACTTTCGACATAAGAGAACCGTCCACAATCTTTGGATGTGTGGCAATGACTGGAATCCAACATCAGCTCAGTGCATGCATGGGTGTCTTACCTGGAATGGGCCGATCATGTGCAAGCATTACTGTGCTCTACACATTCCATTAACACTCCATATTTACATCCTGCAATTCAGGAGTCACATAAAACTGCAATCCAGGGATAGTAAAATTGCTTCAGGACTCTGTCCTATAGCATTTATTAATAATGGACCTCAAGAAGGAAATGTTTTTATGTTCAGAACAGTTTATTGGCCTGTCTCTATTAAAATATTCTGAAAGAAAAATTATTGCTTTGTTTTAAAATAATCTTAGCGGTTTTGGTGTCTTTCTATCTTTTCTCTTTTGAATGGTGACCTTTACAATCCTTGTATTTTAGAACTGATTTATTTTTGGCTGTGTGAGAAAAACACTCTCTTTTACGGATAACTATACCTCATCCACAGTCAACTGAAAAGTACTTAAAATCATTCTTTTGCTTCATAATCTTTTAGCACTGAGCACTGTACAGTATGACTTCCCAAAGATCTGATCATATGCAATGTAGTTGGACAAGTACTGAAATGCTAACTAAATCTGGGCTAACTGAGCACTTCTGAAGTGACAATAGGGTGAATCAAAGACCCTAAGGGCAGTTGGGGTACTCATGGATCCCTTTCAATCTAGCATTTATGGGATTGAAGTTAAAATGAAGAGGACACAAGATGCTTTAAAGCAGGTAAAGGAACAGCAAAATTATGAATATCCTATAAGGAAGATTAAACACATTCTAGAATCTTTGACATCCTTTCTGATGGTTGAAAAAAAATCACATACAGTGACCTCAGTTTACGAACACCTCAGTTTATGTAATTTTCGGTTTACGAACAAAAATCTATTGAAAATAATGCCTAAGTTTACAATTTTCCCCCCCGCAATACAAAGCAAGTTTGCCTTGTGCCTGAGAGGTTGATAGTGCTGCCCAGTGCATACATTCCTATGGGAAACCGTGTTTCAGTTTTTCACATTATGAAACATCCCGGAGAATGCATTAAATTTGTAAACCAAGGTATAACAATTTTTTTTTGATCCTTCATCCTACTGTGGGTGCCTAGGTAGAGAAAGATTATGGTGGCTATCATCATTATCCGCTCAGTGTTGGAAACTCTGCTGCAAATATTTCTTTAAGGAACATGTTCTTGTGGCAATTCATGAAAAATAATTGAACCTTGTTAGTGACTACCCAGATATTAACATGACAACGAATGCTGAGGTTACTGTACAAAGACAATATTTATGAGTTCACCATCCGTGAATCCCGTGTGAATATGTTGGCTTGAACTGTCTGCCCTTTTATTTCTAGATTAGCCAGAGATGAAATAATTATGATTTTTAAATAACCTTTTAGGTAGACTGTTGTGATCCTGTGTTAAGTTTCTATGAATTACCTGGAAATAATCAACTCACTAGCCTGAGTTCAGTTCCATAGGAGTGGATTTCCCAACGTTCAGAAATGTTTCCTTTCTTTTTCTCCCCACTGTTCTCATATCATCCACATACTGTCAAAGGAGGGGCAAGATCTGTTCTCAATCATCCCAGAGTGCAGGACATGCAACAATGAGCTCAGGTTAAAGGAAGCCAGATTTCAGTTCAATATCAGGAAAAACTTCCTAACTGTTAGAGCATTACAACAGTAGAACCAATTACCTCGGGAGTTGGTGAGTGCTCCAATGCTGGAGGCATTCAAGAAAAACTTAGATAATCACCTGACAGATATGTTTTGACTGTATTCCTGCAATGAGCAGGGTGTTGGACTTGATTGCCTTGTAGGTTACTTCCAACTTCACTTTTCTATGATAAATTTGTTTTATTTAGAGGATCCATCGACCACAGAAGCCATTGTAATTGTTTGATGGGAGATGTGATTGGCTGTAAGGTGGGAGGGGAAAAGCTGTTCCATCAACAATATTTTGTCTGCTGGTGGATGGACATCACTACATGAACCTACATGTAAGTATGTGTGATATAAGAAGTATCAGCTTCTACTTACAACTACTGACATTTGTTCTGTCCATCCTATGGAAATGTTATGATTAGCTTAAACTATGGCTTTGACAAAGATGAAATGTAATTAAAATTGAGTGCAGTCAATAGCTCAGACACAAAAACTAACCACAGTTATAGCTGAAAAAGTGTAAGTGGATATTTCCAGTTACCTTGAAGACTCACTGGAGCAAGCATGTACAGGAGCATGGTAATGGCAGCACGTGTGTGTTTTAGTGTGCATGTGTGTGCATGCATCAAGATTATGTTCAACTTATTTAAATTTATATCTTATTATGCTTGCACACTTATAAGTACTGTAGCCAGAACTCGGCTCACAACCTGGCTTCAATCTCAGGTAGTTGACTCAAGGCTGACTCAGCCTTCCATCCTTCCAAGGTTGGTAAATTGAGTACCCGGCTCACCAGGGGTGGGACAATGCGTAGCCTGCTTAATTAAATTGTAAACCACCACTGTGGGGTAGTGGACATATAAACAGCACACTTTGCTTTGTAAATACAATGTTTGCATACTGGGCTAATTCCTATTTTGAAAAATGATTTAAAGCTTTGCAGATTGTTTTTATTTTCTTAATATATGGCAGAAAGACAAAAAGTGTCTAATTGCCTCCTCTCACAAAACAGTGGTAGAGTTCACAAATGTTCAAGTTCTAAATCATTTCAAGTAAAAAATATTCCATATTACAAAAGCAATTACCCATTTTATTTTTTTTACATTGCACTGAAAATTTACATCATACTTTTACAAATCCCTTTTTTTCATAAAAATAGACTTCTTTACAAAAGTGTATGCATTAATATAAGAGGAGTAGCCAGTTGCAGAAGAAATAAGATTTTAAACAATAACTCAAATGTATTAACCTTAACATTAATGAATGAATCATCATTATTGCAATCATTTGGATAAACAAGAATAAATAACAAATTGATGGCAAAAATATAAAACAGCATTCTTTTAGTAGAAGACACAGTTTCTGGATAGAACTGCATGAATTCTCAAAACAAAAGATTGTAAAATGATTGGTAAAAATTTTGTCAAACATCATACATATCCAAGCAGCAATCTTGGGTATAATGAAGGATTGGGGTACGGTGGGGGAGTTTTTGGTAGGCACTCTCTATTATGTTAATAAAATTTTGATTTTTTTCCCCACAGAGTTATTCATTTCTGGGAAAAGAAAGTGGCCTCAGATAATTCACACCAGCTCTCAATGATGAATCCGAAATGATTTCATGCTATGAAAGGAAGACAATGAACTATGGCAGAGGATTACTCAGCCTGACATTGATAATTCAGTTATGATACTATAATCAAAACTAAAATTGCATTCCTCTATTTGAGGATGAAATGAGTCTATGATGACTTAAAAGTGATAAAATAAAGCAGGATGTAGGGGCATCGATTAACTTGCTTTCTGTATCCTCATTTACATTGTAATCTTGCTACAGAACAAATTGTAACTTAATAGGATTAATTTTTTTGAACAGAAATAGTAATTTCTATTCCAAAACAAAACCAAAATTGCCACATTGTTATGATGTAACAATTCGTTGAGACTTAAACTAGAGAGGCAAATAAAGTCATCAGAAAATTCTTGATTGATGCACTGTAATGTGACTGAAGTTAAAACGACTCACATTTACAGAGATAACTCAATTTTAACCAAAGTACTTTGGCTTAATAGGATTATGAACTGGATTACCTAATCTTTAGCTATAATACTTGAAATTGGCATAATCATTCGTAATGCCAATCACTGCTTTGGCAGAGCATTCAATGATTATGAGTGGCCCTATGAATTAACAACCCCAGAAAGGGTCTGTCATTAACAACCCTGCTAAAGTCTTGAATGCCATGGCATGGTTTTCTTTAACAAGTCAATCCACCTCATCTGAGGTCTTCCTCTTTTCCACTGGTCTCTCACTTTTCCTACTACTCTTGTATGTTCCAGTGAATCTTGTCGTCTTGCAATAAGTTGAAAGAATATATGTCACTTTAGTTATTGTATGCTCCGAAATCAGTTCTTGGCATAACATATTATGAGACAAGTAGAGCAATGGCCAAAATATCTCATCTCTTGATAGGATCTGGAAGTTTTAATGGTTGCCAATAAATATTCAACTTTATTTGTTCAACAGCTCAACTATCATCTAGTTCTTGTGTTATCAATTGGTAAAGTCAGTTACAACTTTTGCTATGCAGGGAGTTTGCAAATCAGACCGATGATATCAATTCTTTGAGATTACATGAGGTGTGCTCCTGAGAGCATATACTGCAGAATAATCCAACTGTAGAGTACAGAAGAGCTGATTTCATAGACCTTTGTGGTTTGCATTTCACACAGGATTTGCATTTTGCTTCAGTGGGAGAATAGACTCCCACACATTTCACATTGTGCTTGCTACACAGAGGCCTGCTTTGAAATAAATAGGTAAGATCTGGAGAACAGGCATCAGAGCACTAAATGCCTTCATGAATCAAAGTTCCAATTTTAGTGGCTGCAGTTTTACTGGCCTTTGATCACACCCTGAGTGCAGCACTTAAACCAATGTGGAAGCAAGACGTATAATGCTAATGCAATTCATCTCAGAGTAGACTATAAAATGGAATGTTTAATATCCTTAATCATCTAAGTGAGATGTGCTACTTTAATGTTCCCCCCCCCTCATGAAAATTTCCAAATTGAGAAAATAGAATGTGGTCAGAATGGGTGTTAAACAGTTATTTTCACAAACAGTCATCAGGAACAAATTTCAGGGTTACATAGTGTCTGGGGAATATAATGTGCAGAGTAAAAATTTGGGAAACTGCAGTTTGGGAAAGGCCATGTGAAGAAAAGAACAAAAATGGACCCAATGGTAGCAGAACATGTTGTCATGAAGAAAACGATGAATGCAGAAATGTAACAAGAGAGAACTAACTTCATGAAATAAAAGAATCTGATATGTGGCTCACAACTATCCTGCCATGATACAGAAGTTGGCCTGTATTTGTAAACTTAAGCCTATTCACACGCGTGGCACCATTGTCTGAATTTAGAACAGTGGATGACACTTGATGGACTTAAAAGAAAAGGTATTATTAGAGAATTGGACCACTGTTGGGGAAGTGATGTACCTTGTGATGGTTAAAGAGACTCAATGATGTTTGTTTTCTCCTGTAAATATAACTCTTAGTTTCTACCATATATCATTTATTTCGTTCTTTTAAACCCACTCCCTCTAGCATAGTTTATAAAGCACAGAAGTACTGATAATGGATGCTCCTCCAATATATGCAAATATGTTTTTTTATTCTTATATTTTTTTTTTTTAGAATAATCTCCTTTTTTAAAAAAGCAAATAAACTGAATAAGCACTCATGGAGTGCAGCAGACGTTCTGTAAAACACTCCACAGGAACCATGAAGTCAATATTTTTTTTCCAGTCTATGAAAAAAAAGAAACTCACTCTCGGCTCTCTCTCTCTCTCGCTCTCTCTCATCCTCAGGAGAAGGTGACCCAGGACATCCTGAAAAATGTGCTTTAAATTCATTTTTTAAATAAAAAAATCAGTGGACTATGTGTGCACTGTTGTGTTTCAATTATCGGATAATTGAAGACAAGCTGTCACAATGTTATACCATTGTGCAAACTGTGTTCAAGTTGGGATCAAATCGCACAGCCTTCCCTTCAACAGACTTCGCATTGGTGTCATACATGGGATTTTCAAAAGCAGCCTGCCCATTGTTATTTTCATGTACAGAGCATCCTGTGTACTGTGTTTTTGGTGCAGTTCTGGAAAGGAGGGAAAAGAAGAGAAAAAAATTGTGAGGTTTTTTTTTTAGTGTTTTCAAATAATGTATAGGCTGCAAGTGCTTTTCAAGGCAAGATGTTCACAGCAAGAAACAGCAAAAATACAAAACAATATACACTCTGTTAGATAAGTGGTTCTTAACTTTGGGTTACTCATGTGTTTTTGAACTGCAACTCTCAGAAATCCCAGCCAGCACAGCTGGTGGTGAAGGCTTCTGGGAGTTGCAGTCCAAAAACACCTGAGTAACAAAGGTTAAGAACCAGTGTGTTAGATCACTCAACGTAAGAGGAAGTCTTAAAGGCAAGGAATGGGGTAGGTACAGATGGATGTCTCTTTAAAAAAAACCCCAAAAAACCCTCTTGCCTCCTTTAAATGTCTTACATTTGGATAATGAAGCTCTTTAATCCACAAGTACAGGATTGAAGAGACCCACCTGAGAAACCTGAAGCTTCTGAAAAATCTTCAAAGCAGCCCCATGAAGACTAGCTGGCAGTAGCCTAATCCAGTTCAGGAGGTTCTCAATGTGCCCAGAAATGCCCAAGTCAATTTGAAAGCCCTGGCTTTCATGTTGCATGTACTCCCCCAAACCCTTGGATTCTAATCCAAAAAAGATAAAATTTCTAAACGACACTTTTCACCTAATAAAAAGTGTACATTTCTGTGCGAAAAATTAGAGTAATGAACATTTATCTTCATTCTATTCAACAGCAGTGAGTAGAAGAAAGATGTTCATATAACATAGGACTTAGAATGAATTGAAACAAGATTAAAAAAAGGTTCGCTGAGTCATCCTTACATGTATTGCACAAAGCTATTATTCAGCTAAACACAACAGGAGGAATCTTAAAGAGAGGTTTGCAATTTCAGCATAACTTGGTATTGGAACAGCTCTTTATAAAAAAGTTTCTTAATGGCATAGAATCCTGCCCAGCACTTACAACCAGGCAAACTATGTAGGATGCAAGAGAATTAAAAAAAAAAATGAGCTGCAGCACTGTAAATGTCAAAAAGAAAATATAGGCACCATAGCAATTACACAACAGACAGAGTAATTTAAAATAGCAAGGTAACCAGAAGGATAAGAAATATAGGCACCATAGCAATTACACAACAATCCATTGGTATCATACCATCCAAGGCTCCAAGACATTTGAATAACTTTGTTCTTTTCTGAGAGAGTAATTTAAAATAGCAAGGTAACCAGAGGATAAGATATAATGTAGGACAATAACCTTGCGTATCAAGTATGGCTGATACTTCCAAAGTATCTTTAGAATATGTATGCACTACAGTGGGGTCTTGACTTGAGAACTTAATCCGTATTGGAAGGCGGTTCTCAGGTCAAATCTGCATTTCCCATAGGAATGCATTGAAAACCATTTGATCCGTATCTGCTCTTTTCCGTCCATAGAAACTAATGGGAAGCTGCTATTCCGCCTTCGACCTAACCTCGAGGCAAAATCCGGAGCTGGAGTCCCGAAGGCAGCATGTGTCGTTCTGCCAACTCCTGCGACGTTGCTGGAACCAGTTGTATTGGCTCTTGCCTTTCCATTGGACCATTTCAGCAATGTGGAGAGGGGGGATCTGCTGCTTGGGTAACAGCCTATCCTCCATATTACCTTACCCGGGCTTCATGCTCTGGAGAGGACACTCCTCGATTCAGAGCATGTTACCATAGTCTCTCGAGACTGAAGGATGCCTATGATGAAGATATAATGTAGGACAATAACCTTGCGTATCAAGTATGGCTGATACTTCCAAAGTATCTTTAGTATATGTATGCACTATATGTTAGATAGTTCACACACAAAGGTAGGTCTCAGTTTATTTTAGTTTCTAATAGAATAATATGATTTCGAGGCATTAAAAAGAATTAAGTGCAATGATAATTCTGAGGGTGGACCAAAGCTGTTTAGTATAAATATTAGTAAAGTTTTGCTTCCCACTGGATCCTTCTCTGCCACTGCAGAAGAAAGAAGGTGGAAAAGATATGGCCAAATATATTCTTCTGCATATGTGCACATCTTGTACTAAGTTTTTTTTTCATTTATTTATTCTAATCTAGCTCTGTTTGAACCCTATCCCTTTGCTTTCTGAAAGGTAGGTTTTATTCTTTTACTGTACATCATTCTGCAATCAAAACCTTAACAACAGCCCTCATAAAATCTTAGAAGGTTTATTGTCCTTTGGGATTCTTCTGAGTTGACCATAGATGCTTTTGTGAATCTTGAGCCAAGCATCTTTTCATAATCATCTAAGACTTGGTTCCCATTAGCACTACCAACATTTTGACAAGGGTTACCCTCTGCAACGTTCATGTTTGAGTTAGCAAATCTGTTAGATTTCTATCTAGACTGGGTGACCCTTCAGAACTGTGCACATTTAAACAATATATTAGAGAATGTATTATAGAAATCAGCCTTATACAGTGGTGCCTCACAAGACGAATGCCTCGTGAGATGAAAACCTCGCAAGATGAATGGTTTTGGTGATGGGATTGGGGACTCGCAAGATGAATGTTCCTATGGCCGTGCTTCGCAAGATGAATGTTTTCTGTTTTCGTTCCTGCCTCATGTTTGCTGATTTTTAAATGTTTCTCTATGATATTTAAAAAGTTACAGTTTTTTAATTGAAATTTTTGAAATCATCTGCACAATATGTATGGCTTTAAAGAGCACTTAATAAACCCTTTGTAAACCAAATTTGACTTTGTTCTGACTTATTTTGCCAATAGGAACGCATTTATTAGATTTCAATGCATTACTATGGGAAAACGTGTTTCACAAGACATTTTTCCCAAGACAACATTAACCGCGGAACAGATTAAATTAGTCTTGCAAGGCACCACTGTACATTCAACTCCCGTTTCAGACACCTTATCTCAATATATTTGGTACATTTATTATCTTACCTACCTTTGTTTATAAAGGTAAAAACCAAATCCTGCTAATATGAGAGCAAAGAAAGGCACGAGAATAGCAATGGCCACAGAACTGCTGTTTGTTCCATGTGGTTGGTTGGATGAATTTGAACCTTCAGACATATTGAGTCCTGGGATGGGTGAGGAAAAATAGTCTGTTATCTCCAGTAATGTTTTTCATTCCAAATATTTATAATACTATAATATGCAAAAAAAGTCCAATAAAACTGAAAACGAAAATATCAATACATTTGGGTCATGCAGATTGAAGATAACGCATGGGGATAATGTATGTGTCCTCCCCCTGACCATTTCTGTGGCTCCTAGAAAGCCCCTCAGTGCCCCCATTTCTCTGGGAGAAAAATGGGAGAAGCACACTTCCAGAAGCTTCAAGGGTATGTGATCCTCCTTCTGAGCAAAATACAGCCTTCACTGCAGCTTCTCTAGTGGAACCTCTGGTTGTTATTATTATTTTTATCCCTTAATGAAAATTACTACTTTGGTTTCTCATTTTCCAAATTTCCATAATTCTTTTTTGAAAACCATGAGCTGTTGGATTTGCCTTGTAATAACATTTCATAGTTTGGTTGTTGTAGGTTTTTTGGGCTGTCTGGCCATGTTCTTGAGGTTTTTCTTCCTAATGTTTCCCAGTCTCTGTGGCAGGCATCTTCAGAGGATAGGAGTCAGAACTCTGTCTGTGCTCTGGTGGGATAGTTGAGTATTTATAGCTGTCGGATCAGCTTTTTGTCCTTTTCAGGAGATTGTGTGATTATGGTATCAGCGTGTTTTTGTTGTGGGTGTATTGTTGTGATAAGGGACAGAGATGATCTGTCACTGTGATTGATGGGTGTTGATAGCTGGTCTTTTGTGTGTATTGATCACCGGTCTTTGTGGCTGGGTAAAGTCCGTTGACTTTTTGCAGGCTGTGTTTTTCAGTGCTGGGAGCCAGGCTTTGTTGAAAGCCTTCAAGAATACATTTCATAGTTTCTCGGTTTTCAGCAGGAGTCCAAGTTTTGTATTTATGTTGTTTCAGTAGCTTTGCAGCAGCCTGTCCTGGTTCCTCAGTTGAGACCTGTCTAGCTTGGGATACTCCCGCATAGCTCTCAACCTCACTGAAACACACAAGCCCCATCACCTCAACAAGGCCTGTGCCCATGTAGGGGATGATGATGAAGATGAACATTACTGTTTTTGCACTGCACATTTCATTGGACCAAAGACTACTTTTACTTCCTGACTGCTTCATATA